TAAACTGTGACTGTCGCTTCTGCTTGCTGTGGTAGGTGAATTCATTCTTAGATTCTGAGACCAAGAACCCAACCAGGAGGAGAAAAATCTGCTATCAGCGTCACTGCCTGCAGTCCCAGCTACTAGGGAGGGGGAGATGGGAGGATTGCGTAAGCCCATGAGTTTAAGGCTGCTGGGAGCTGTGACCACAGTACTCACTGCACTTCAACCTGCATGATAAGGCAAAATCTCTCTCTTTTTTATTTTTTTGGAAACAGAGTCTCACTTTGTCACTCTTGGTAGAGTGCTGTGGCATCATAGCTCACAGCAACCTCAAACTCTTGAGCTCAAGTGACCCCTTGCCCTCATCTTCCAAAAAAGGGAAAGAAGTTCGGAAAGATATTAGTGTGTCTACAGGTGGTTTTCACGTTCAGCATCTATGAGGTACAGTAATGTGAGCAGTGGTGGGCAGCGTCTCTCTCAGCCGGCCTGTGGCAGAGGAAAGATCTATTGTACAGTCCTCAGTAGTACCGACAGGTTGTGACAAGGGTGCTCAGTAGTACCGACGGGTTGTGACAAGAGTCTGGCTCAGTTGTCTCTGGACAGAGTTCAGGGCATAAAAGATGTTTAGTTGTGGTCATGGGGCCAAAGCTGCTGAATTTACAGAAAATGATGTATGCTTACGTAACACTATCAGTAAAATAAATAAAATAAAAATATCTGGCGGCTTTATGTCGTTCTTTAAAAGCACTATTAACTCTGAGTGGGGTCACTAAGCAATTCTGTGACGTGATTGGTTTCAACTGCCCTGTCAGCAGAATTAGATTATGCCACCTTCATGAACACGGCCACAGAATAAAAAGGTATACCTTGCGGATGAGGTTGAGAAAATCGGGGATAAGTATATACTGCCTTCCAAACAGTCTTCAAGGTGCTGTTTACAACACAGTGAAGATCAGATACCACCCGCACTTACTGGAATTAGCAGCCGAGATGATAGTTCTCTGCGTAAACGGGCAACAAAATAATCTGAGCAGCATGGACTTCAGTCTGGTGACCAGAGTAAAGCAAATGACATGTAAGAATGTACCCATGACCCCTCTTTCCTGGGGACCGAGGAGGATTCCTGGAGGTGGTCTCCCTACCGGGTAAGGTCCCGTGCTCATGCTGAGTGGTCTCCGGGAGGACTGACTCTAAGGCTCGGGCAAAAGAATGTGTCAGGATGGAGGTAGGAGGTGGTGCCCAGAACCTCGCCTTCTGACACAGGGGAGGTTAGTTTGTGGGTAATGATCATTGAAAAACATCCATGAAGTAATTCTGAAAATTGTGCCACCGAACGGCACCCTTCTCAACTTGCAAACACAAAACGTCCCGGCGTATGTGGCCTGCGGTACCCAGAACAGGCCTGGCTGCACACCTGTCTCCTGGCTGAGGCGCCGTTTGTTCCTGGCCCGGCACTAATGAGTCGTTCAGAAAGTCAGTCGTTCATGATTTACGAAATACACACCCAGGAGTGTAGTGGGTGCTTAGCCGTAATTCCTGCCTTCGGGGAGTTTATAAATTAATAAAGGAGTCTGTCTGTGGGGGATGAATGAGTTCTCAACAGCCTTCTGTCACTGGGGTAAGATTATTTAAATCAAAATGCCACTTTAAATCCACTGAGATTGAAACTGCAGAATCTTCAAAACCATAACAACGCTAAGGAGGAAACAAGTCTCCCTCTGTTATTCTTGACGAGTAGCGTCCCCGAGTTGCTACATCATTTAACGAGGAACAAATAGGATGTCAAAGGATAACACTGGCATTGTGGTTCAGGAAAAAAAAAAATCAAGATCCCCAAGAGCCAAACAACTGAAAACTAAATGCCAGAGGCCTTCACTGAGGCGTTTCTAGGTTTACTGCTATTCTTAAATGACTCTGGAATTTCCTCTGCTGATCCGCATTACCCTTCAACACTGCTGTTCCTAAGTCTATAAGGTTAAGAGCCTGTGGCTTTGATAACAAATGTAGACGTTCCTCTGGGCTCCTAAAATAGAGCTCTCCACTCCATACGGTAGAAATGGGCAGAGTTAATATAGGGAGGGCAGGATCTGGCTAAACATGCTTGTGTGTTCCGCATCCTCGCCTATGTCTGGGTACAGATTACCCAAGCAAGTTCTAGCACCTTCTTTTCCCTGAGAGGTGACAGAGTGAGGAACTTTCCAGGGCTTTGGACATTTTGGATTTTAAATGTTGGATTTGTTTGTTTGGGATTTTAAAAGTACGACTTGTATGTGCTTTAAATTTTCACAGTAAATGTTTTTAACACATCAAAGGAAACCAACATGGTCTCTTAGAAATTTCCAAACATATAGAAAAGTCAATGGGTTAGTACGTCTGATAAAACTCAGTGTAACCTCTCCAGCTATGATAAACATCAAGTTGTAGCCAATCCTATTTTATTTATATCCTTACCACATCCTTCCCTGCTTAGTCCTAGGATGATTTTTCAAATCAAAGCACATTCTAGATATTATTTAATTTGTATATATTTCAGTATGTATGTAAGAATCCATTAAAACTCTGTTTAGAATAGAAAGAGTAGATGGCATGTAATACCTTACCCATCTAGCCAAATTAATAATGTTGTAATATTAAATAGTCAACAGTTCTAATTTTCTAATATTTTAAATTTTCATTTTTAATAACGGTAAAACACACATAACAGACTTTTATCAGCTTAACCATTTTTAATGGTATAGTTAAGTAATTACCTTCTTAACTCTTTTTAACAGTATGATTCAGTATTAGGTGCATTCACCTTGTTGTGCAACCAATCTCCAGAACTCTCTTTTATCTTGCAAAACTGAAAAATCTACATCCACTAAACAACTCCCCATTCTGCCCCCTCCCCAGGTCCCAGCAACATCTATTCTACTTTGTCTCTATGAATTTGAGGTGCCTCATCTAAGTGGAATCATAGTATTTGTTTTTTTGAGTGGCTTATTTCACTCAGCATGACGTCCTCAAGACTCGTCTGTGATAGCATGTGTCAGAATTTCCTATCTTTTTAAAGTTGACTATCCCTTTGTAGGTTTATACCACATTTTGTTTATCCACTCATCTGTCAATGGACACTTGGGTATGGCCATTGTAAATAACGCTGCTGTGGACGTGAGTGTACAAATACCCGTTTGTTGTTTTCAGTGCATTTGGGTACATACCCAGAAGGGGACTTGCTGGATCATGTAGAAATTCTTTAGTTTACTTTTCTACTGTATTATTTTCATAGCAGCTGCACCATTTTATGTTCCCAACAGTGCCCGAGCATTCCAATTTCTGTACACCTTTATCAACACTCTTTATTTTCTGTCTTGTTTTGTGGTCTGATAGTAGGCCTCCTCATGATGGCGAGATGGTACTTCACTGCGGTTCAGATCCACATTTCCTTAATGATTAGTGATGTTGAGCATAGTTCAAGTGCTTGTTGAGTATTTATCTATCTTCTTTAGAAAAATGTCTACTCAGATCCTTTGCCCATTTTTAAATCAGGTGTTTATTTTTATTGTTGAGTCTTATTTCTGGATATTAACCCTTTATCAAATATATAATTTGCAAATATTTTCTCCCATTCTGTGGGTTTCCCTCTAACTCTATTGATTGTGCCCTTTGATGCATGTAAGTTTTTCATTTTGATATACTCAAATTTATCTGTTTTTGTTGTTGTTGTTATTGTTAACTTTGCTTTTCGCGTCATATCAAAAAGTCATTGCCATGTCTAATCTTAGAAAGCTTTTTTCCTAAGGACTTTAGAGTTTAACTCTTAAATTTAGATCTTTGATCTATTTTGAGTTTATTTTTGTGTGTGGTGTAGGATAAAGACCCATCCAACTTTACCAGCACTATTTATTGAAAAGACTTTATCACTTCCCCATAAAATGGTCTCGTCACCCTTGTTGAAAATCATTTGACCATATATATTCAAGGATTTATTTCTGGTCTCTCTCCTATTCTATTGGTCTATATATCTGTTTATGCCAGAAACACATTATTTTAATTACTTTGTCTTTGTTTTGGAAATTGTAACATGTGAAACCTCCAACTTTGTTATTTTCTAATATTGTTTTGGCTATTCAGGGTCCCTTGAGATTCCACATAAATTTTAAGATGAGTTTTTCTATTTCTGCAAAAAATACCATTGTTGATTTGATAAGGGATTGCATTATATCTGTCAATCACTTTGGGTAGTATTAATATCTTAACACTGTCTTACATCCATGAACATGGGATATCTTTCCATTTATTTTTATCTTATTTAATTTGTTTTAGCAACATGTTAAAAATTTTCAATATACAAGTCTTTTTGCCTCCTTGGTTAAGTTTATTTCTAAATAAATGTTTAATTCCTTTTGCTATTGCTGTTATAAGTGGAACTTTTTCCTTAATTTCCTTTGTAGATCAGTCTTGTTAGTACACAGAAACACAACAGGTTTTGAATGTTGATTTTGTATACTGCAACTGTGCTGAATTGATTTATTAATCTAATAGGTTTTTATTTGAGGGGGGGTGGCATCTTTGTGGTTTTCTACAATCATATCATTGCAAACAGAGATCATTTTACTTCTGACTTTACAATTTTAGCATCTTTTATTTGTTATTTTAGCCTAATAGTTCTGGGTAGGACTATTTCCTATGTTCTATGTTAAACAGAAGTGGTGAAAGTGACCTCTTGGTCTTGTTCCTGATCTTAGAGGAAAAACTTTTATTTCTTCACCATTAAGTGTATTAGCTATGGGCTTTTCATACATGACCTTTATTATGTTGGAGTAGTTTTTTTTTTTTCTAGTTTAAGTGTTTTTCTCAAGTGATTTTGTTTCTATGTCTCTGAAGTGTCTTTGATCTTTAGATTTTCTACTTGATCTTTTTTTTTTTAACCTCATATATTTTGTGTTTTGTTCTCACATCAAACAGATAATATACTGAGGTCCAAGTAAGGTTTGAGGAAGGTATATGCTTATGAAAAGTACATGCTTTTTTTCTCACATCAAACAGGTAATATACTGAGGTCCAAGTAAAGTTTGAGGAAGGTACATGCTTTCACACATGCTTCTAAAAACCTAATCATCATTCTTATAAACTACAGAACTATGGAAACCTTTGTGTATTTCTGTTGAAGTAACCCAACTGTCTTTATAGAGTGTTTGAGAGTCTAGGTTTTGTTGATTGTATTCCTGTTGTATTATTTAATATGTTGTACTGTTTCTTGTGTATTTCCTATAAACTGGTAGATCTGGTAGATCCAGAAGTTAAATTATTAGATTCAGGTTCCTTTTTCCTATCTATTTTTTGTTCAAGACTTTATACTTCATAGACGAGGTATATTCTTCTTGAGTGTCTCTGGTTGCTGTTGTTTTTAAAACATCAGTATTCTGATCTGAGAGGGTTCTTTAGCAGTCCAGAACAGGACAGTCTTACTTAGTCTGTACTTCTTTTCTTCTTAGCTCAAAGTTGGTGGATTAAGAAGGAGAAAATGCAAGAGTTTGGGGAGTTTTTTTAAACCATTAGACCTTTAATTCAACTGAATCAAGTATATGTAGGTCTTCTGCCAAAAATAAAAGGACTAACAGTTCCAATTTTAGATAACTACCCCAGAGCTATTTTTAGTGAGGTAAAGTTTTGAGATGAAACTAAACAACTTTATGAATTTTGGAATTTTCTTAACTATCTCCTCCCCATGAATAGCTTTGCACTATTATTGCACATCCTTGATCAGGTCTTCCTGGTTGCCTTTAGTGGACAGATAGGTGTCCTCAGTGGCTCATACTGAGTAACCTGACAGGTGCTGCATTCCTTTATTATCTTTTCACTGAACTGGGAAAGTTCAGTTTACCAGCCATAGTTTCAAGTCCCTGAATTAATATGATTAATCCTTAGCAGTGGTTCTCAACCTTCCCAATGCTGCAACCCTTTAATACAGTTCCTCATGTGTGGTGACCCCTCAACCATAAAATTATTTTCGTTGCTACTTCATAACTGTAATTTTGCTACTATTATGAATCGTCATGTAAATATCTGATATGCAGGATATATTTTCATTGTTACAAAGGGGTTGTGACCCTCAGGTTGAGAACCATTGATCTTAGGTATGGTTGGTGGCCAACTTTTAACTGTAGACCCCAAATATCCTACCTGAGGCTTAAGTCTAGTCTAAGGTGACCAGATTTTAACATTGGTAAAGC